TGAAGGAGAACTGCTAAGATTACAGGAAAATTCGTTTAAAGAAGGCCACAGAGGGAAAAAACCTTCAATCGATAAAATGAGACATTTCCTTAAAAATGGAAATATCTACATGCGGTGAAAGGCGAAGCAGCAGCGCAAATTACCATTCGCAACCAGGTGAATGTGATTTATACGAAGTCCTACCGGAAATTTTCCACAGTAGACTGAATTTGGAAGTTGTCATACTTTGATCAAGAAGCCGTTCCCAAAGACACCTGAGGCGAAGTTGAGCGAGCAATTAGAAACATAAAAAATGGCAAATGTGAGGCAAAAGCAACATGAGATCAGACACCTAAAAGCTGAAGGAACAAAACAGTTCAAAGCATTTGCTAAACATCTTACGGAATGCATTAAAGTGCGGAAAACATCAAAAACAATTCTTCTCATGAAAAAAGCAATTTCTGAGATATCATAATCTATCGATTAATTACTCTCATGCGCAAACCTCAACCGTATTTAGAGGGACCTAGAACTAATCACAAACTAGAAACAGGCCGGTTTCCTTCCATCGATCATGCATATGTCATCGAGCAACTGACGGAGAACTGAAACGAATACTAGATATCACTATGTTTTGCTTTCATCAACTTCAGGAAGGCGCTCGGTTCGGTATAATTGACGGCTGTGATAAAGACCATAGATGAACATGACATCATCTTTGTTTACGTAAAGCTGATCGAGGAATTGAACGCCGGTTGCACGGCTGATACAAAAACGTTCAGCGACTTATGTCGTCTGAGCATCCAAAGAGGATTGCGCCAAGGAGATACAGTCTCACCAGCATTCGTTATCGCTGCCTTGGAGCCATTCCTCAACCGATTAAGCTATTTCCTCAATACTGATGCGCTAATGCACTTGTTATTTGCGGATAACTGCATCGTCTCGCATAAAACACGATGCAGCTTTAACAGAATATGCAGCAGCTGCAAGAAGATCGTTGCACCGTCGATTTTGACGTTAGCTTCTCAAGCATTGCCCTGAGGGCTTCACTTACGCGAATGGTGAAGAACTCGAAGAAGTCACCAGCCACGCATACCTTCGCTATCAGGTTTAGTGCATGTCTAATTGAAACATCATTGCTCGACAGTGAGCTATCCGCTAGAGCAAAGAAACAACTGGTCGATTCAGCCATGCCACCCGTTCTGATCTACCGCACCGAATGTTGGTGGGCTATTAAATCCGAAGAGAACAAACTTATGGTCACTCAAAGAGCGATGGAGTGAAAAGGTCGTTGTCCTGGACCAGATTTTTAGCACACAAATATAGCAATGAGCTGTATTTACAGACCTAACCTCTGTCTACTACGACGCGAAGTCACGATGGGTCGGTCATCACATGGCTCGCCTGAGGACATTAGGAATTACAAACTGGGTTTCGCTGCATCACCAACATTGAGAAGGCCGTTCAGGAACACGCTAGAACGATCGAGTGTCAAATTACTTGGTCTGGGTGGAGGCGGAAAGCGGAAAATTGAGGATGTTGAAGAAGCGTCGACTTCTTTCATGGTGCACCACGACAAGGTCGAATCTGACAATGGATACCAGCTATGGGCGATACTTGATGCAAAAGCACCCATAACGTCAGAGAAGAGTCATCACAGCCGACGGCGCATCTCGACCAAAACCGTAAACCAGCAAAGAACCGATTTTCCTCGTTGTGTAAGCCTTGAACCCTTAAACTAAAAAAGGCACTGTCTCGTTAGGTTGACGATCTGCATTCTATAAAACGAAAGGCATTTTGTGGGCATATTATCACACACGCAGCAATTTCATACTCAATAGACCACATCAAAGATTTTACACTGCACAGCAATGGACGAAGGGAAATAGCAAATTAAGCCAAATCGTTCATTAACTGGAATATACCATGATAATTACCGATATCATGTAGTCAAGCCGATATTCAACGACGAATCGTGCCGGTCGCAGCATTTTGTGTTGCCATAGCGCATGAAGTTTAGCCTCCGCTGCCAAGCATGACCGTGGTCCGAGAGTCGCCGTACAGATGGACCCCCCCAATTCCGGCTTGAATGGGATTTATGAAGTTTTCTCTTGGAGTCTTTGACGAACCGACGTCTAACTGCAACATTACCTGTCTTTTACTTTCAAAAATGCTTTTGTACCTACCTACCTATCTACCTACATACATGCATACATACACACATACATACATACGTACATACATACGTACATACATACGTACATACATACGTACATACATACATACATACATA